TCCCCACACACCACAGCCCTTCCCCACACACCATAGCCCTTCCCCACACACCACCACAGCCATTCCCCACACACCACAGCCCTTCCCCACACACCACCACAGCCATTCCCCACACACCACCACAGCCAGCTCCTTACTTGACAGCCCCGACATCCTCAGCGTAGCGCTGCATCTCCTCCCGAGCTCTCTCCTCTCGAAGCTCTCGCTGCAACTCTTCAATCTTCTTCCTCTCCGCCTCATGTTTCTGCTCCGCCTTCCACACTTTCTCCACATTGCGAAGGGTCTGTGGGTGCCAGCTCTTCTTCAGGTTCTGTGTGAAGGAGGGAGGGAGGAAGGAATGCAGTGAGTTACAGTAAGTGGAAGGTGCTGAGTCTAACTAGCCGTGTTCCAATTTCACCTCGGATGCTGCAGAGGATAAGGATTTACTTCATCAGATAAACCAGGTTACAGACCACCACTGTGAGGAAGTCAAGGAAGGAACTTCCAACAGCTGGCCACTGCATCCACAGTCAAAGGCACAGACATACAAATGCACACACACCCATAGGCTAGTGCTCGCTTACAGCGCTCAGCCTGATTCCTTCACTTTTATACAGTTCAGGACCTTACCTAGAGAACGGTACTACCCACAGTGGGTGGGGTCTTCTCACATTGATTACTTAAGACAATCCCCAAGAGACATAACCACAAGCCAACCCAATAGAGACAATCTCTCCTTAAGGTTCTCTTTTCAGATGATTCTAGATTATTTTCCGTAGACAGTTAACGCTAACCACCATGGCTGGCCTCGCTCAGCCTTCCCATAGCCAGCACATGCAGTCATGTAAAGGCAAGAGGGCTGCCTGGACTGGCAGGCACGAGATTGCAGGCAATGTCGGCCGTTACAGTTTGAGGAGGGAACAGGTCTTTTCTGAGTTTCCTTCAAACAGTTTCAACCTTAGACTCCACTAGCCATGCCGAAAATGGGAGCTGATAAAAGCAAGGCAGGGGGAAAGGGCAAAGCGAAAGCTTTGAAAGGCAACACAATTCACTGGGACAGAGCACTCTTCTGCAAATATCCTCCTTTCTACTGAGTCCGTTGACTGTGCTGTGCCTATGCCTGCATCCTCACCACACACCTAGCCCTCTTTCAACTTTCCTTCCCAGGAATTTCCCCCTTGTTTCTCCCCCTTCACCCTCAATGAATGTTTCTCCTCTCTCTGCTTTGCTTCAGGCTGTAATCCTAGAAGTTTCCCCAAGGAGGCAGCATTCGAGGATGGGTGGAATACAGCTGGCAACGTGGGAAGCACTGTAAGCAGAAATGGCACTCCCAGCAGTGAGAACAGCACAGCGTGAATAATTCCCTGTGGCTGGAGGTGGAGGCAAGCTGATGGAGAAGAGGGTGTCAGATAAAGCCAGCTGAGAAGGGAGCAGATCAAATCCTTCACAGGCATGCGAAGGGACTGCACTCCACCCTGCTGGTGGCAGGAAGCAAGAACTGGCACGGTGCAGGCAAGACGCATGACTGGCTATCACGTGAAGAATGGATAGGAGAGGTATAAATTAATTATTACCAACCCTCCCCAACAGAGAGGTGCAAAATGGGAGACTAGTTAAGACTAAATGAGATAGAAATACACAAGGTGCCTTGCAAATGCACCTTGTAAATCAGGTGTAAAGTCAGGGCCTTGCTACTTAGCTCAGGCTACCTTCAAACTTGAGATCTTACTAACTCCACCTCCTAGGCACTAGAGCTAAAGGCATGGAATCTGCTTTCCGTCTTTACTCTTTACTGCCTTTCCTCCTTCATCAGGTTGTTTTATCCTTCCTTTCTTCCTAAATTCTTCCCATTGATCAGGACTGCCTTCACCACCTCCTCCTCCTCTTCCTCCTCCACCACTGACACACACGCCCTTACTTTGTCCTACAGAGGCTTTCCTTTCCATCTCAGGACACAAATGGCAATCAGTGTCTGGAGAAATTTGTAAATGTCACAACTGAGTAAGAGGGTAATGGCATCCTGCGGCTAGAAGCTGCCACATTTACAGGACAATCCACCACCACACACACAGCCAATGATCTAGATCAGCGCTTTCCTGGCACGAGTGACTAGTCTTGGTTGTAAACTTCAATTGAGGCATTGCTTCTATCAGTCTGGGCATGTCTGTGAGTGTATGTTCTTGATCACAAATGGATGGAGGAAGGCCCAGCCCACTGTGGGTGGTGCCATCCCTGGATAAGTGGGCCACCTGTGAAAAAAGGTAGCTGAGTAACACGAGAGAAGCAAGCCAGTGAGCAGGACCCCTCCATGGTCTCTGCTTCAGCTCCTGCCTCTGCGTTGCAGTGAGCTCCTTCCCTGCTTCCCTTAATGATGGGGTCTAACCTATAAGATGTAATAAGCCTTCTCCTTCAAAAGGTGCTTTTGATCTTGGTCTTTTTTTTTTTTTTTTAAGGTTTTTCGAGACAGGGTTTCTCTGTGTAGTCCTGGCTGTCCTGGAACTCGCTCTGTAGACCAGGCTGGCCTCAAACTCAGAAATCCACCTGCCTCTGCCTCCCAAGTGCTGGGATTAAAGTCGTGTGCCACCACCGCCCGGCTTGATCTTGGTCTTATTACAGAAGTAAACTAACGCACTGTCCATAATAAACAGTTACATGAAGAACATACTAACCTGGACCAACTTTGGTGGGGTCTCGGAACTTTATCAAATTAAGGACACCTGACAAACTCAGCTTAATGGACAGACACCTAAACGGATGTACTTACTGATTCGATCAGCTTCACTTTGAGAAGATCAATAGTGTCCTAATTTAGCTCTGTGCTTTGTGGATACTTCTGCCTCGTTTAAGGCATGAGTGCATGAGTTCCCCACAAACGAACTACAGGACTTAAGAGGAATTGCCACTTAGACTAAAAAAGCGTTACCGATACAGAAGAAGCTGCCTCGTCACTACACATCAAAGCAAAACACTGATGTAAGGAATGAAACAAAGATGGAAAAGACTTAAAATGGATTCGTCTAAATGGCACAGCTCAGGACTGGAGACGACCGGAGCCCACCCTTTGACAGTCCAGGTCCAGAATACAACTGTGAACTCGTAGTTTTAAAAGGGGGAGGAGGAGAGGCGGGGGTACTGTGTCCGAAGATAACACACACAAAATAAAGTCTACGTTCCCAAGATCTGCCTCCTTCCATACCATGGGTCCAATTGTCCCCTCCCTGACCTCAGACTTCCTAGCCCGGGGCTCCGTCCCCCAATCAGCAAATCCAGACACCAGCAGACATCACTCGCCGCACATCTTCCGGAGTCCCATCCCAGTCCCTCTGAGGGCTTCACCATCCGCTCCCTCTCCATGTTTATCATCCCCTTGAGCTGAAAACAAGACTTTATTACCAGGGTTACCCACTGCTATCCCCGACTTCCACCCCATCCCTGCCAGTTTCGGTCTCCGGTGCCAATGGGTCTCCGGCCTCAGTCGTTCCTGCCCAGGCCTCCAGCACTTACCAGGTCTCCGCCTCCCATGATCGTGGAGACAGTTCCTCAGTCTGTGAACCTGAAAGATTCAGCAAAGGTCGAGAGGAAACCTAGTGAAACAGTTCGGAGACCGCCTCACGGGATCTAATCCCTAAAGGAACCAGCTGCCCTTTTCCCCGCCCGCTCTAGATCGCACTTCCGGGAGTGGCGTCATATAACTGCGGCAGCGTCTCGGATCGATGACGTTTGGTACAAGCCGTATGTCTGGGTGAACCCATAGCTGAAAGTACTTTCTCTCCTCGTTCGGGGTTTGGGTGGTCTTTTTTTGGTTGCTTCACTTAAGCACCTCGCCCCAACTGTTGAAAAGCCACCGGTAGGGTTCTGTTGCCTTGGCAACGCATCAGGGCTCTGCTGTAGAAGCGTGACTCTGTAAGACGTCAGCATCTGCCAACTTAGGCCGCCTTCCCAGCACACCGCTGCACTAGAATTTCCAAACCAGCTTTCAAAACTGGACTTGCGACCAACTCCCTCATCCCCGGCATGTTTTACAGAAATAGATACCATCAAACAAAATCCCAAAAGCCAAATATCGTGCCGCACTCCCATCGTCTTCACACTTGGTAGATAGAAATTGGAAGATCAGAAGTTCAAGGCCAGCGTTGGCACAAAGTTTGAGGTCATTCTGATCTGGAAACCCCTGTTTTTTATTTTATTTTATTTTATTTTTTTCTTTTTTCTTTTTTTTTTTTTTTTTTTTTTTTTTTTT